AAATTTTTGTTAAAATGTCATTAAAGATAAATTTATTTGCACACTCTACGCTTTAACTATTTATTTCCCCATTTGACACTATTGAAAGGTTTTTATTGCATATCTTATTTATTTTACTCTGCTAACAAAACTGAAACATCTGAAGAATAAGTTATTTTGAATATGTTTACAAAATATACGCGAAATTTTTATTTAAGTGAAAACGTCTATACTATTCGAGAATTAATAAATTATCCGAAAAGTTTATGTGCGCGCTGAATGCCGCGCGTCTATAAAATAAATCTTTAAAAAAACAGCAGACATTCAGCCAGTGTGTGCGATAAACGCGCCAAAATTGGTAGCGCGTTCCCTCCCTCGCCAAGAGAGAAAAGTTGGTGATTCAGCCTGGTTTAGAGGAGCCTTACTCATGACGAGAAAGTTGATGACAATTATCAGGAGCTAAGAACAAGAAGAAGCAATAACTGTAAATTGCCAGTGAGGATTGTGAAAGATGATGTCTGTCTTTTTTATAGACTGATTCGTAAACTTATCATGTTTAAGAATATCCTGAATGTCTCTGAAATAAAAATTTGTCTTTTTGAGAAAGGTATCGTGAGATGCAGTCAGAATATACTATTTATCGATAATTCGATTTTTAACTCCCCATGGAGAATAAAGTTTCCCACAAAGGGCAACGTGCACTGGTGATTATACGTAGCGTTTATTCTGAAAAGCTTGAAGTCTTTTGCAATGAACTGCACAACCTCAACTTGACCTGTAACTCATGGGATTGATGGGGTGTTTCTCGGGCTTCTTGAACGCAATGATGACTGCGATTACCCAGCAATTAGGATTGTAAACTTTTCTAAGACATGCATCAGATAGGTCGCACAAAAATATAATGGCTTTGCATTGCAAAGGCCTTAGCGCCTTAATAGAAATGCTGTCAACATCCCAGGCTTTCCGAAGGTTTAATTCTTTGTTAAATAACTTTAAGTTCAATCCAAAACAAAAACGAAAAAAAAAAAAAAAGCAGGAAGGAGCTTTTCATGAGGAAGGGGCTTTTTAGGGCTTAATTTTCTATTCAAAACATCACAATTTTCTGCAAATTCAATGTCCATATTACGCAAATAGAAATGAACTGATTTTTTCAGCTATCCACAACAGCAGTTAACATTTCGCCTTGGATATACATAAGTACAGAGTTTTCGGCTGTAGATCCAATTGATTCGCCCTTTTATTATTATTATTATTATTTTGAGAGGGAATTTTTAAAAATAGAACTGTATTTAGGGAGAGCGAGCTGCTAAAATTTTGTCCGGGGTTTTGCTTGTGTTGCTTGTACTCTTCTTTGATAATTCTTTATATGGAATTTAATAGTTTTTAAAGTCTGAAACCATTTTTGTCTAAGATATTTACTCTAGATGGCCAGGTATGGCCATTTACTGTAGATGGCCTCTTGGGAAAGTCAATTCTTTTGCTTGGTATGACGAAAGAGGCACTTTCGATAGAGCTTTGGATGGCATTATTGAAAATGTTGACCGTCTCTTAAATAGTAGCTTTTCCTTTTAAACTTGGATGGATATGGATATCACATTCTAAGGGACCGCTGAATTTATCATTGTTCGTAATGATAAAACTCAACATGGCCTTGATATTTTATACAGCGTCAATAAAATTAGATTATAATAAAAATATAGTTCATTAAGTACCTGAAGGTACGATCTTTGAGGTATACTTTGTGGAAGTATAATGTCCAAAATATGTGGGAAATGACTTCTGTATAAAGATAGCGGGCTTAGAATTATAATATTCTTTTTGGTGATATAGTTGCCAATTATACCTTCTTTAAGCTTGTTCCGGCCACTGTTCAGTGCTGTGGATTTTGCATTTACATCATCCGCAAGTAAAGTCGGAAGACTGGAATGAAATATATCATCCAGATCACTACAGCAAATACAGCGACTAGATACAGTAACAGCTGCAGATTTTTCTGTTGAACACACACTATTTAAGTGTATGGGGGAGAAATCAATTGTTTGATTTAATAATATTATACATAATGTACCGTAAATTGTTGCGACAAACTTTTGGTGGAGGTAGGGCACATCATAAGGATTAAGAATTGCATAGGAACCTATACCCGGAAATATTAAGGGCAGAGGTAGAAGATGGGATAGCAGAGGTAGAAGATGGGAAAAGAAGCAAGAGTAATTACTCATAATTTGAAACATTTATTGGATATGAATGCAAATGGTGCACGACAGCTTGAATGTTACAACAGATGCTCGAAGTTTGCACAATCAGACGAAATGCTGAACTGAAAATTATTAATCCCATTAAAAGTCGAGTATTCCTCTGCGAAGTAATAAGCAATTAGTAAATCATATAAACGCAAGATTGTCAAAAACAGGTTCATGTGTTTTATATATATGAAAAAAGTATTAACTTACAAAAAAAAAAAAAATCTTCAGAACGCAGCTAAAGTTGGTCATTATCACAAAGAAATTAGTATGCTTCCTCATTTGTCATCAATTTTCATTCAGAAGTTCTGAACTAAAAAGCAGTGCAGTTGGCAGCCGTGTGTATGTGAAAATAATCTTTATGAGTATGCTCAAAAGAAGAAGTGGCATAGTTGTAGAGGCATTAGGTATTTTTTGAAAGCAGAAGAGATGAAAAATAAGCAATGTCCTTACCGGAACTCGAAATTCGGACCTCTTGAATATGCGCCGAGCGTGTTGAGCATTACATCACGACGGCATGCTAAGGAGGCGGGAGAAATACCTTATATACTCCCCCTTTTAAAGGGCGACTGGGGATTGGAGGATCCAACCGCCAAATCCTGATGGTGAAGAATCATAATCTACCACCTATGTTAGTTCGGGCGCCCCTGTAGAGACATTAGGCATTTTTTGAAAGCAGGAGAGATGTAAAATGAGCAATGCCCTCGCCGGGACTCGTACCTCTCGAATACGCGCCGAGAGTGCTGACCTTTACACCACGAAGGCAGCTAAGAAGGCGGGAGAAATACCTAATACAGTATTAAAACACAGGTCATGCTACAAAAGGTATAGATTAGGGTTCTCCTTCGACTGTGTAATGTGACTAGCGTTGCATAGAATATCTGCAATGTGAGGTGAAAATTTGATGAGCATATACTTTTCATATATCGGTTCAGTCTACATGTGACGTTTTCGAAAGTATAGTGCTCGGAAAATTGATGTGTCATTCTATTTAGCCTTGTATAGGAGACATTGTACCAGTGCAAAGAAATTCATATAACTTTAATTTGCAAAATGCAACATTACATATTGGAATAATATGTGCATTAAAGACCTGTAAACTCTCAGCATACCTAATGTTATTATGCATGTTCTAAATCTTTAAATATACTTTTATTTCCCTGTATTTATTTGCGTTTAAATACTTTAAATTTCCATACCTTCTAAATGTTAATTTCCATAAGGACATTAGGTATTCCGTGAAGAATGTGTTAAGCAATTGCTGTGAATGGACTATATCTGCCTAGCATCCGTAGATTTGTGGTGTCCACCACTGCCTCTCATATCCCATTTCATGAAATATCCGCATAGAGATCATCCATAATTCCAAGCGAAGCATTGAAGAAATGGAGGACAACACGAGTAGCTTGCAGTCTCGTAATGTTCTGTTAAAAGGACGAATGTTGGAAGCCCCAAAGGGGTTTAATGTCTATAACTATCCGGAGGGACGGAAGCCTTGGCATACACATAAATGTAAAAATTTCAATGGTTGCTCAAAAGTACCGGACATTCGATACATTGAATACCTGTAGCCTTGTATTCAATTGCTTTTCACGCCATCAGTCTTCGTGCTGGGCCAGTATGACAACAGAATGCAAACTTCTAAAGTTCTTTCCATCAGTGCTTCCGGACGCGATACAGCTGTCATGATTCTATAAGCAAACTGCTTCCTGTGCTAGAGTGTCAAGGAAAGCCGAAGCAATGGAGGCCATGTTGACAACCCGTGGTGTTGTAGACGGGGTTGCATCGTACATGCGCATACTTGATGCTTTGCAACACAGATTCCTGACATAGGGTACATTACAGATTATGACCAGTCACAACAGTGACTAAGATGTCTCGGACATTGTTGAGTGAGTAGTTTCCTCCATGATTCTGGTTTTATGTGACAATGGCTGTCTTGAAGGGCATTATTTAATAGGTTTTTATTTTATCCTAAGAATATATCAAGAATCCTAATATCCTAAAAATTTCTGAATGTAGGTCACTTTTAGAAGTTGTGACCATGAAATTTCATTGCATCTCTAAAGATTTTTAAAATGATAAAGTATTTAAAAAGCTCATACGACAACTAAATTAAAGAAATATTTTTTGAAAGTATAAGCCATTTATCGCATAAAATTATGAGTAATATGAAATTAATCCAAATATTAATTAGTATATTGTACGACTTCTTGCCAAAAGAGGTTACTCACTTCTTTACTTCATTTCAGTAGCAAGAATGTTACACACGTAGGCCCACCAAGTCACGCGCTTGTTTAAATATTGGTGCAATAAGGTTATCAACACTTGGTGAGTGAGGAAAACGGGGCGTTCCAAATGAAATGTCATATTTGTTTACAGATTTGTCAGAGGCATTTCATTGTTGATCTTGTTTCTGAAAGTATACTTTAGTTATTGCTTTTCCTTTCTCCCCTTAAGGTAAATGAAATACAAATCCCTAATAGACTAGCAAAATTTTCCCGTTTCTCTCAATTTCCTATTAAAATCTATCTTCCAACAATGAAATGTAAAACATTTGACTGCCGACAGGCGACTAAATTATTTTAAAAAGCATTTATCTTGTATTTTCCTTAATTACTTTTTAACTGAAACTTTATGGTAATGTTTAAAAAGATTTAAATTTTACTCTTAAAATGTGTATATAGTCTGTATAGTATAGCTATTTATTTCATTTTACAATCAAATTAACGCAGAATGCAGTTTCCAACAAATTCATTTTAATAGATTGAAGTCAAAAATACATTAAAAATTTTTCTTTAAAATATTTATGTAATTAAAATAAAATTTATTAAAATATAATTTTTCTAATTGTAAAAAATAGTTACGTACAGCAATTAAAATATAAAATTAAAACCTTTTCCATCGAGTCTCATTTATCGAACATAATTGTTCTTAACTTTTGTAAATAAAGACTACGCTCAATCGCTACATCTTGTCTTCGAGTTTCGTGGCTTTTACTGAATGAAAACGGCTTCGTTCCTGAAGAATTAAAATTTTTCTTTCGTGATGATGGAAGTTTGTTATTCTTATCAAGTATCTGTAAATGTTTTAGTACTTCAGCTAAGGAAGATTTTATGTCAGTAGGTCTTAAGGGGCTTAGAGGAATAGAAGGTGTAGTACTTTCAATCTCTAATTTCAAACGCTTGAGAAACTCAGAAGGTAAAGGAATATTAATTTCAAGTACAGGGCCTGTGAGCTTATCTTTCTGAAAGCTGTATTTCACATCCGGGTTATGAAGTTCAAAATCTTTCATGTGCTCCTTATATTTGTCAGCTTCTGGAATGAGAATGCCAGCTGGTGTTACAACGGGAATCACATTTTCAGTTGGTAATACAATATATTTTTGGTTCATATCATAATACAAATCAGCAGTAATACTTTCATTAAAATGTTTTGAAGCCATCCCCTTTTCCGGAGAATTGATATCAACAGAATAGACTTCGTCTTTTTGTTGTACATTTGGCCTCTCAGCCATCTGTAAATCTTCTAAATAATTCTTTGAGGAATGAGACATTTCTTCAACAGCTCTTAATTCACTTTTATTTAGGATTTTAATAAATCCGCTTCTCCTATCAAAAGCAAAATCATTTGAAGCTTTTGTAGCTTCGGGTAAGGAACCTAATCCAGAAATTAAGTTTTCTTTAATTCCTACATGATCGTCTGATTTGAAAGCTCCTTTCTCTCCAAATGGATAGAGTGAGCCTTCTGCTTCATTTAATAGATCTGATTTTGAATTATTTGAACTTCGACCTTCGGATTCATTTTTGCTCTGTCTATCGTTTCGAGTAACACCCGCTTCTTCAGTTTCATTTAAACTATTACGTAGTGATTCACCAATGAGTCTTGTAAAGAAACCCCTTAATGAAGTTAAGGGATCATTTCCATTTTTTTCTGTGCTGTCACTATTCTGATGATTTCTGCTGAAAGAATCTTCTTTATTTAAAGCTTTACCATTTCTTGCTCGTGGCATGAAAATTCTGTAAATATTCCAAACATTGTCCTCTTCTGGCTCAGTTACAGATAACTCGCCTTCAGTTAAATCATTTACTTGGTTTGTTGATGAAGGAGTTTCTTGACTTGTTTTCAAATAGTCATCAGAAGCAAATGGTGACAAATTAGGTGACTGTGTCTGAGTAAGAAGGTGTGTTTCATTGTAAGTGGTAAATAGTTCCATGTAAATGATTCCACCTATTGCCGATATTAATCCTAAAGAACAAAGACATATTATCACTGCAATTAAGAAATAACAACAACATGAAGAAAATTTCTCTCGGCGACTTAAGGGCACGACCACAGGTTTCATCTTCGGATCTTGTAATATTCCTTGTTCTAAGTTTTGCATTTCCGGGTTTAGTTCAGGTGAACTGAATGTTGGTCTTTCGTTATCCAAAGGTTTGTCATCGAACGCTTCGTTGTTCTTCTCTGCTGCATCTGAAAGAAAAAATTCAATATTTTGACAGTGGCATTAGAACGAAAAAAATGTAATGTGTATATTTTTAACAGAACATAAAACATTTTGTAATACCTGTTTCGGTATAAAATCTAAATCTACTTTTTTCTTATTATTATTTGAATTACAGACTATATGCTGCTGAGTGTCAAAATTGTTACAACATGTAAGAAAGCTGTTAGCATAAAGATATTGGCTTTTACAATTAAAGTGGAAGAATTAAATGATTAAATTTTCAGTTAATTCCGAAGTACACAACAGGCATAAATCCACACTAATTATTCCCTATTTTGGAAAATTTCCTATTCAGCTATGTAACAGCTGCTGATATTGACAAACATCCACTCTGATAAGAGCAGCTGTTGCACGGCTGGGCATGAAGACAAGTAGACTTCAGGTGGTATTTGGGGCACTGCAGTCCATCTTCTGTAACGGCTGGCGAGTCACGCCATTCTCTTTGCAACTAAACCAGACGTTTTCAGTTAGTGAAAGATCAAAAGAACGCTTCATATGAGGCAGGAATCGAACACGCTGTACATTGAAGAAATGGAGGTCAACACGAGTAGCTTGCAGTCTCGTAATGTTCTGTTAAAAGGACGAATGTTGGAAGCCCCAAAGGGGTTTAATGTCTATAACTATACCGGAGGGACGGAAGCCTTGGCATACACATAAATGTAAAAATTTCAATGGTTGCTCAAAAGTACCGGACATTCGATACATTGAATACCTGTAGCCTTGTATTCAATTGCTTTTCACGCCATCAGTCTTCGTGCTGGGCCAGTATGACAACAGAATGCAAACTTCTAAAGTTCTTTCCATCAGTGCTTCCGGACGCGATACAGCTGTCATGATTCTATAAGCAAACTGCTTCCTGTGCTAGAGTGTCAAGGAAAGCCGAAGCAATGGAGGCCATGTTGACAACCCGTGGTGTTGTAGACGGGGTTGCATCGTACATGCGCATACTTGATGCTTTGCAACACAGATTCCTGACATAGGGTACATTACAGATTATGACCAGTCACAACAGTGACTAAGATGTCTCGGACATTGTTGAGTGAGTAGTTTCCTCCATGGAGTGCCTTTGAGATTTGGAACTTCATTACATGTGGCCCTTCTGGACCCATCGATGCCAAATTCTCACAAGTCACCAACTCTCAATCAATGCGAGCTGTAATCTAATCTTTCTATGATTTAATTCTGAGATTTCTATGTAAATTCCTTCTTCCGCGAGGCATAACAAGGAAGCACAAGGAATAAATAGCAAACGCGAATTACAAGCAAATTTCGCATCCCATTCTGCAATTTTATACTGCTTCGAGTTTTTATTACCGTTGCTTGCAATGTGCGCATGCCGTGAAATGTTAATTATTCGCACACTATAACATGCTCTACCTTTCTCGAAATTTTCAGATTTGATGAGCACTTCTTTCATGGTGCCACAATTTTAATGTCCAGCAGTGTATTTGCAAAGCAACAGATTATATTATTATTAGAAAAGTAAGCGCTGATGCAGCCCTACGATAGAAAATCTTGCATGATATTTATTGCATACATGCTTCTTTCATCTACAATTACCAAACGCTGTAATGTATCCAACAGTAAGATGCTTCTTATTTTTCCGCAAGTTTTGAAATTTATTGTCGCAATATGATTGGTTGGCCCATTGTTATGGCAATAAACATGAGCATGACTGACGTAGACCATAATTAAAAATATTGCAATATCTTTTCAAAAGCATTCAGGTACAGAATGTACCCGAGTGTTCAAAAATAACAAAACATCTTTTTTTTCTCAAGAACAAAATACAAGTATAAAATCTGGAATTTTGGAAGCTTCAAAATTCATAAATTTAGAAGTAAAATTAAGCAAAATTTCAAATATTTTGCTTTAATAGTTCATATAGTTTTACTTGGTCATCTTATAGTTGTATTTCAGATTTCGAAGGAAATAATTTTAAAATTATATCTGAAAATAAAAAATGCACGTACATTGCAACTGCTGTAAAAGAATCTTAGGTATATGTATAAAAAAGGCAAAGGATTTTCTTTAACGCAAATAAATTTTTCGCACTCTATGGAATCTTCCGCATTCTCTAAACATGTTAAAGCGACGGAATGTTGTAAAATTTATGCTGATTAAAATAAGTGAATGCTCAGCATACTCTTAATCCTATTGGAAAGTAACGCATCACGCAAATGAACATATCATGCAGTAGACGAAGCATATGCTGTTCGAATCGGATTATTTAGATTATGGCAAAGCACTCGAAGGCTATCTGCTTAAGGGAAGGGATGAGGATGACTTCTTGGAAGATTTAAAGAAAACAGGCTCGTATTCCCATTACACCAACCGAAAACCATGAAAACGTAAATGCTGCTCACCAGGATTTGAATCCGTATCGAATTATCTGTGTTCAAAGGTTTTACAGCTTACCCGCAGATGGGCACTGTAGAAGTTTAGAAATAAATCTTACATTAAACAGAAACGTGATTTTTTTTGTCCACTAACAGGCGGATACTGTGCAAATGATATTAGAAATAGCAGCAAATAGGTGTGTTTCAGTTCAAATCTATTTCTAAAAATGAATACTATGCCAATTGTGATTTTATTTGTGAATCTAAAAAATTTCCGTTACGTTTTGAAATTCATTTTTATGATTCATCTCATGCAGTAAAAGAACCTAATTTTTAAGAACATTTGAAATTTTGTTTCCGAAAAGTGAAATTTCTTCGATGTTTAGATTTTGTAGATCAATTTATTTTAAATCATTTGTAAAGCTTTTGTTCACTTGAAATTACTTTTGGTTGTAATTTCAAGTGAACAAAAGCTTTACAAATGATTTAAAATTGTCTTAACCAAATTAATTTTGGTTAAGACAAAACACATAAGGACTATTTGCAAAGAGAGCGACACTTTTATGAAGAAATTAAGGAAAACAGGATCGTATCTGTGTCACCATGGAAAATCTCACCAAGTACAAGAATTTGAATTGGACGGGCTACCAACTAGTCTTACTCACTTGGTCACTGCTGGCCGTAATGTTAATACCGGAATTGCAACATTTCTGACATGAGCACCATATGGAGGCATATGAGCCACCTGATTCAGTATATTCTAAACTATTTTCATCACACAACATTAAAAACAACCTACTATAGCATAACAAAAAGATTTTTAAATTACCCACACAATGACTTCAGTGATTAAGTCAATGCGGAGCTTACAGTATTGTGATCTTTGCACGAATGATCTTAAATTGTGGTAATATTTTGTCTTATTGTCAAATGGTTTACAACAACTAATGCTGTATTTATATTTCTCAATGATTTTCTTTTGATACTTATGTTATTTTGATTAAACATAATAGAGTACAAAAAAATTCTTCATATCCTTTGTGAATGTAATCTATTCAAAGAAACTCAGTTTTAATGTGTCTGAAAGAACATTTTTAACTTCATCTGCAGAATTTCATCTTATTAACAGACACCATTTTCAGTCTTTATAATAAATTTCAGCATATAATTAATGTTTTAAATTAAAATATTTTATTGTCTTTTAATACTTTCTCTATAGCAGAGTTTCTCAGTCTGTTTACCCTTTCAGAGCATTTGAATTGTTTAACTGAATACGGCAAAAGATATGAGAAATAACTACCTAAAGGTAAATAACATCTTTGAAAATACTTTAGGGAAACTTGCTTATATTTGCGTTACAAATGGCCGCAATCACGAAATCCAACGCATCAACTCTTTCCCTGTGATTCAAACTCGGATTCAGTTATCAGTGTCTAGTGCCGTTATCCTTTCGGCCACTGGTGTGCCTTGTGGAATCCTTAAAATATTTGCATTTGTAAGGAGCCTTTGTATAAATATTGCATTTTATTAGCTCTATAATTTTACTTGAATGACCTAGTCATTAGCATTTCTGCTAGAAGAGTAATTAGATACCAGAAAACCCAGAATGAGTTGCTTAGCTGATAAAATCTAAATAACGCCTGTGCTTCTTGTGTAAGAAGAGGGCTGCTTTCGCGGAGCGGTGTCCAAAATAAACTATTAATGTTCACGTTATGCACTGTGGGGGAAAAAGTGAAAAACTTCCATGCGACTAGTCCACTCTACCTCAGTCAAACAAACTGTGTTCAGCGGCGATTTTATCGGTTAGGCCACTGATGGGGTTCAAGCATTAACTGAGAAACGCTGCTCTGAACTCAACAGCCTACATCTCTTTTCCAAACTAAGAGAATATTTCTTGAAAATTATTCATTTGTTCGTTCCCAGTAAATTCAGTTTGTTCCTGCGTTCATAAAATATTCTTAAAGATTAGAAATAAGAGGTTACTTTGAAAACATCAGCACTATTAAAAACTATATTGCCTTTTTTGCAAAAATTTAGAGGTAGATTTGAATGCAGGTTAACGGTTGTATCGGGATGGAATTTATTTTCATTTGGCTGTACGGATAAAAAGATCCAATTCTTTCTTTAATTATAAAAGTTAAAAATGTTATTTCGATATTGCTAATAGTTACATTCAGATTTTTTTTTAGCTTTATTTATTTATTTTTTCAATTCTAATCTCCAGTTTTATGAAAAACTAATAATAGAAAATCTTATTAAAATTGCATTCTCGGGGCCAAGTCTTCAGATAACTGTTCTTCTCTTTCGTGATAAATTACTTCACTAGTTGCTCAAAAAAAAATATTTCATCAGTAGGCAGAATGTATTTCCATTTGTTTTCGACAGCAGGATTGACTGAGAATAGTACAATATATTCTGCATTCAACCACAGATCTAGGCAAAAGCAATGAACATTGTGCTTATTACGATTTAAATACTTACTTGGTATTTTTTTCTTATTAACACAGATATGTTTGAAGAAACTTTCTTTGAACGCATAAAATTTCTTGTTCTAAAATACTTGTAAAAAAATGCGTTTGTCCAGTATTTGTTATCGCATTTTTTCTTCTGCAATATTTTGTGATTAATTTTATAATGAATATTACAATTTCAATTGCATTAAAAATGTTAATTCCATAATTTTCAGGACTTTTTTTAATTTACCTTTCGAAAGAGGAGAAATAACCTATGACAGAAAGCTAGCGTTTACGAGCAAACATTCAAGCGTAATTTCATCAGATTTTAGTTAGCTTAAAAATGGCGGCGGACCACACAATTTCTGGAAACTTTTAGAATTTTTTCTTAAAAACTTATTCTGAACTGTGTTAATAGTTTATATATTTCGGAGTTAAAGTAATGGTCTGTGGGTGGTTTAAATCTCATCAGTTGTAAACAATCTAAGAAAATTCTTTAGTATCTATATATATCACAATTAACCTAGAAAAATTAGCTGCACGTGGATCTCTGTTTAGTACTCAAAAATCAAAAGTTACTAAAAGCATGGAAACTACACTCAAGTCTTTTTTTTACCTCTCCGGTTTTTATATAACCAAGATGCGGAAAGTTCGCTTTCCGTAATGACGATGGTTGATGCAGAAGAGAAATGCTTTCGAGGCTTCTGGTTGACTTTGACATCAAAGGCCACATTTTCGGTTGGGTTCAGGGCTCTTTGAGAAAAATTATGTTGGTCAAGACTGTCGACGCTTGCAGTTCGAGATGCTGACTTCCGACTGTTCTTATCCTCCGCTTGCTTACCAACATCCAAAGTATGTCGTCGTCCAAGTCGCAACAAGATTGGAGTTTCCTATGAATAAAGTTTTAATATCATTAATAAACACTGGATGATTTTCACACAATCAAATTTAAAACTGAATTGTACTTAACTGTTTCATACTTAGCAACGAAACTTTAACCTTTTGCTCTTCAAGACTGTTAGGGTTTATGACTCTTAACTTCAGAGCTAGTTGATTGATTAAGGTGAAGCAAAGCAGTAATTATTTGGCTGTATTTTACGTTTGCCTGCCTCAGACGAGGGGCTTTCGTGAATAAAATGTTGACAGAAATTGAAAACAACATGATAACCCTCCTTAGATTAATGTATAGTACTTCGAAAGTTGTAAGCATAGCGATTGAGGAACCTTTTTCCTCCTTACTAAGATCAATAACAATGGGAGCTTTTTTAACTAGGAGATAGGAGAGCCGACTCTCATAGCCTCGGACTTCGGTTCGAATCGCCGATATATATGTTTAAATACATAGTGACTTTATGGCATGGGAGCACTTGAGCCGGAAGTCTCCCGAGAGGTTGGTGTAAGAGAAAGGATAAGATGATACTTCAGATTCCTTCGGGGGGGGCAGTTCTTCAAAATTAAGGCGCAGCTGGAAAATTCGTATTGTCATCTATTGTAAGGTATCCAAACACTAAGCCAATGACAGGCATAATCTTTGCTTCCCGATCACAAATTTTGTCGACTTGAGTGATACTACTGTGAGACTGATGGGAAAAATCACAACAAACAGCTCTATTTGAAACGACCAGCCTCCTTATATAGACCAATATTAACATACAATAACAATATACTTTAAAAGTTCCATTATTGGAAAGAAAATCGTAACAAATTGTTAGGAAACAAAATAAGCAGCAGCAGCATACTCAAAATTTCCAAGATATTCATTACATCAACATCAATAAAGTATCTATACCGCCTTAACAGCTACAAAATGCAACGGTTTAAATATTTAATAGTTTCCATTTTGAACTATGAGGGAGATTAACTGATGAAGCGTTATCGAAGGTAAAATTAAGTTGTAAAAATATGGTATTGGGAATTTATTTCAAATATGGGGCTTTGAACAAACAAAAATCTTGTATTAAAGATTTCATTTAATTATATATTAAACGCACTGGTGTACTTCAAATCACTCTAATGTTAAAGAGTACAAAAGTCATTGAAGAAGTACACGGTGACGAATAACAAATATCTTAAAATGCCGTCTATGATACAAACGTTTTTGTCATTTGTTAATGCACAGTGAATAATAGTAACTAACATTTCAATACCAGAGCTGCGCTAGCCATCTAGTGGATCTTTCATGGAGGATTTTCGAAGGCAAACCGACTCGTATGTACCTTACAATTGGGGAAAACCACGTAAACGCCCATGCAGCCAGTCCGTTCCCGGAATTCGGACCTCGGACTGGACTACCAGTATTCGGTGCAAACTACTTTAGTTTTCACTGCAGTTTGTTGTTAATGCTGATTTTAAGGAATATTTTAGTTCTGCGTTCTTTATTTAAACAGATATTTCTTTCGGCGTATACGGACTATAAAAAGAAAAGCATATTTCTCTCCGTATTCCATATCCGTATAAGGAAAGTTACTGTTTCAAATAAATGCGATTTTTACGGTCTTAAGATAATTCTGATCCAAATTTATCCGTAACGTCCAAAACTAAAAATTTATTTAAACAATATACTTACTTCCACTTCTTAAGAAAAGCTAAGATTGCAAAACAAATTTTGTCTCTCTTCTGAAATTTTATGTCAAATCAGGTTTCGAACAAAAGTATAAAAATTTAAGATTCATTTCTTTATTTTTAGGAATAAATGGGCGAATGACTTGTAGCGATCTTTCTGTACAGATTAAAACTTTTATTTAGACGTAGAATGACAAGCGTAAATAACTTAACCGTAAAATCATTTTGACACGAACAGGTTAGATTAGATAAGACTCACGACATTTTTAATAAGAACATATTTTGTATAGTATAAGAATTAGATTTATGCAGTCTGTATACGAAATAGATTATTTGGTAATAGCAAAGCATATTAGAGTTAGCCTACGTACGGAGAATATTCTCATAAAAGTGTTCATATGTGTGGGGCGTAAGAATGTAACCTGAGTAATGTAAAAGATAAACTTCATTCTATATGAACTTTCTGAAAAGAGCTCTGGCGATTAAAGAAAGCTCATGGAATAAAAATATTATTCAATCTCAACAATTTTAGAAACTCATTTACCAATTAAATGTTATGATAACGGTTTCGCTTTTTTATAATGTATAGTTCACGTGAACAGTAATATGAAACTGTACTAATATTCTACTTATTAAGGATTTACTAATGGTAACAGATTAAGAAGTATGTATCAGACACAGAACTTATTGAGGAGAACATTCTAAAAAAACAGAATCAGTTTATGATGCATATAACGAAAATGACATTTGCTCACAGTCTTCATAATACAAATAGTAAAACAATGGAAAGTGCTTTAGTTTAAAGAATATTTTTCACTTTAAGGTGTAACAGTAATTATTTTTTGTAGCTTAAATCTATGCCATAATATTTTGATGAGCGCGAAATGCTACTGAAATTCCTTGCAGAATATTATACGCCATAATATGGAAGCTGCATTTATACAGTGGTTGCACCATTCCTCAGACTTTAAATATTTACAAATATTTTAATCATTTTCGTATTTTACAGAGTAGTCCAGATTATACCATCTTCGATAATCCGATCTATCCATGAGAACCTAATCCATCGTAAAATTATCATTATATTGTCTGTTTATTCAGCTATTCATTATATAACACAGTATATCTCTTATTGCCTACAATTATGTAATATGCTGAGTATCAAAATGTATACAAACTGTATTATAATTAACAAACAGTAAAACGTTTGTTTTCCTGCAAGCGTTTTAAAAGTTTCCTTAAAATAAATCTAAATTTCACAGGCTATTTTTAGATGAGCTCGCATCTTTGTTCCGAAAGAATGTCTATAATTATGTTATCAATTTCCCAGTTCTCTAGAAATTTCCAGTTAGCATCCGCAAAGTATTCGGTATGGTTTGGTTTATTCGATTATCGAAAAGCACTCGAGGGCTATCTGCCTACAGGGAGAGATGCCTTCTTGGAGGGCTTTCTAACAGAAACTGGCTCGTATATACGTTAAAAGGTGGGGAAAACCACGAAAACGCCAGTGCGTTCGCGGGATTCGAACCTCGGACCGAACTCGTTTATTTACGAATAAAATAATTTTAGTTCTGCTGGCATAAAAAGAAAATTACATGCCGATTTAAGCATACCATAATTGTGTTTTGTTTTATGCAGCTTGGGAAGTTTTGTTTTCAGTGGATCATTTTAATATTATTTGCTGTTCCGCTTTAACCATCATTCTCCCTTATCGGACTCTAATATTTACTACAAAAATCTATTCAATGCTACTTAAGAATCGGAGTGTTTTAATTCTCAATTCTATGATTTGTTATTAAACTTAAATTGGCAGCACGATGAAAAATTTGTGCATAATTTCTCATTGGATAATTATCATTGCTTTATCATTTGATCATTATAATTATCATTAATTTATCATTTTATCTTAAAGTAAAACTTTAGGATCTGGACATTCCAGTTAGGCACCAATTAAAATACGAAACATAAAGAAAATTATATTTTTTGAATACGCACATAGATTTATACCGATACTTTTTAAAGTTAATTGTTCCATTTCTGTTAATGAGGCAATACTTAATTGCAAATATAAACGTTGGCACCATGCTAACTGGATGGCAATTCTAAGCCTTGTTCATACTGGATTCTAGTAAAAAAGACATCAGACACACAAAACGCTGCTCTTCGGTGTCGAAAGTTTTTATTCGGTTGAAAAAAATCTAAACTTCACGTATAGCGGAGCTAGTCGACACACGAAACCGCCACAATGAGCTCAGATAAACACCTGTGTGAACGGCCCTTAACAATACGTGGAACTTTATGAAGAGAAAAACTTAAATCCAGAATAAATACAAAGTCAAACATCGAAATATAAAGTAGATTTACCAGAATAATATGGCTGCATAGGAGGAATAAATCTGCCGATTTTATTTAACATTGCTGAAAACTTATGTATCTTCTCCTCAAATTGATGCCATGAAGTCGATTAGATAGACGTCTAAATAGTGGCGGGCAATGCCGAGCTTTTTTTGCCATTTTTACTGCCACACAATCTTACAAGCAAGGCCATTTTCAAGCATAGCTGACACAGGCAGCACATTTTCGATCGAAGCCACAGAAATTGTTCCCACAAGCAAAACAACTAAATATAGATATATTTTCCTTTGAATTATTAATATATTTTATTCGGTTATGAACTGCACTAATCGTCTAGGGCGCCAACTTACTGTCGTCGGGCCTGCTTACAAAGAATTTGATTCTTTCCTCAAAAAAGGGTCCCTACTTGAATTAAAAGTTCTGAAAATAAAGGAAGGAAAATTGCCAGATTGATATTCGTTCTTCCCGCTTTTTAGTAATGACGTTATTGCATAACTTTTCTATACGATATGAATTAGGCTACCATATTTGGAGCCTGGTGCATGTTTGGGACGGACGCTGTGTTAACAGAAAAGTATTAGATAATAGAGAGTGCCTTTCAGATACAAAATCAGATATTGATCAAAATCATTAATTGCTTTTGAACTTGTTCATTTAAATCATTAACTTAAGATAAAATACGTGCAAATTGCTCATTTGTAATACAGGAAGTACCAAAATAAATATGATATCCTTCACGTAAATAATATTCATAGATGAAATGCACTGCTTAAGTTGCTAGCTGGTTTGTATGTATGTATGTGTATGTATGTGTGTGATTATGGCAAAGCCTCGAGGGCTATATGCCTAAGGGAAGGGATGCCTTCGTGGAGGACTTTCTAAGGGAAACTGGCTCGTATACACGTTACACATGGGGAAAATCACGAAAACGCCCATGCAGCCAGCCCGTTCGCGGGATTCGAACCTCGGACCG